TTTACACTCGGCAGAAGAAAAAAAATCATGATTATGGTTATTGAGAGAGAAAAAATTAATCATAAGATGTACTAAAGGACACTTTAAATCGTTTTACATAAGGAGGAAAGTGTTAATAATATCTTTAACTAAAAGAAAATTCCACTTGGACATGTTGAAATTCTTGATAGACAGCTACCTTAAATCCCCATATTACGCAGGCTGTCATGCAACCACCATTTTATCTAAAACAAGGTTGAAGCGTCCATCGAGTTTCTCCAGTGCCGTTATTAGTACTAATCGGCGATAATGTCTTTACTATCTATGCAAGATAAATACTTCATTACGGTCCATATTCGTAACAGTAACCTGACAGAAGAACGGTTGATAAACACTGGCTGAAAAATGTTACGGGAACTAATTTATGCAAAAAGCGAAAGAGTTGGACTATAGAATAATAATGTTCTTCGTGATGGACTATCTTAAAACTAAAGTTTCAGGTTCGATTACCAAGTATGTGGTAAACAAGTTGAAAAATCCTTGTTTCTCTTACACATTATTTGTGTTGGTATGTTGGTTGTTGTATTTCTTTGGTGTGCAATCAAGAGTATTTATTATTATTATAAGGTAGGCCTAGGTACCGACCGTCATACTGCCTTTGATTCTAGATTTTTTATTCATGAAGCAAAAGATTGATTATTTTATGAAACAACAAAACGAAGCAATTTTATTAGGGTATCAAACTAATCAGTATAGGTACCTATTTGAAACTTAGATTAAAATCAATGCATTGAATAGCATTTTGCACGTGTGCCAAGAACGTCTGGCCTAAAAACTTCTATAAAATTAATGAAAGGACAGATAATATTGTTTATCTGCCATCTCATATAGAATCCAGTCTGTGGATGTGTGTCACACAAATGTCAAACAATTCTTTCATTGGCTCCGATACACTTGAATGGATTACTTTATTGATCTGCCGTAATCGAATTTCATTTCGCACTATCTTGTTTCAATCTGGCCTCATTTGGCTCGTTCTATTTGCAACTGATATTTTCTGGGTTTCAGTTACTTCGCGTAATATACTCGCACCTGTAAATTGGGGCAAGGTCGTTGAACCACAAACTGAAACCAGTGTGGTTACTTTCATTTAATGCAGTGTTTCCTATTTTCATCTGTCATAGCCTCGCGTAGTTTTGTAAACAAACTTTTAGTGAATTAATTACAACTTCCAGTGCCATGTCTATTTTCTCATTGTGAAAAACAAGCTACGATCAAGGTGCCCCTGCAGTTAATAAAATCTTAAATTATATTCATCACTGTATTCGTTCATGCAAATCTAAAATGACGCAAAAAAAAATCAGAATAGGCGACAGGGGTTGTCTCTGACTCTAAAATTGCCATGTCCGGCCATTCGCGAGTTTTGCACTTCTCATAAATAGCGATTATGTTTCTAAGTAGGTATGAATGGACTTTCGACAACTTTCAGAGGCGACTGTCAACGCTTTACCTGTCGCTCAATTGTGAAAATACTTTTGTAAAATTGCAGACATATCACAACGAAGTTACATCTGCCGGGTCATCGGCCAGTCTAACGCCAGTCATATCCAAGTTAGATACATTTGTAATAGCCACTCGGTTCTTTCACGTCTAGCCTGACAGGCAATGAAAGGGATGCATTTATCACCCGCATTCAGGCAGACGAGACATCGGATGAATACCGAGTAATTTAAATCGCTTGCGCAGAGATCTAGTGGGTGGGTATTCATTGACAGATGGTTAGGGATAAGATAAACGTACTATAACTAAAGTGTAACTGGTAACTAATTAAAAAAAAATGTTTTCATCACTTTTATGCAGCGTAGACCAAAACAATAATCTTTAGATAATGATGGATCATTCTCTAAAGATTATTGTTTTGGTCAATACATGTGAAATGTGTCCCTGTAACATATAATATAGATGTCTCTTAAGTTGATGCACTCACTTTAGGAGTAAACTCTTCATCAAAAACAAACGAATGGATAATACAGACTCAAATGTTGACTTACTTCTCATTCAATTGTTTTCACACACAATACACGAGTTCAAATATTGTACGATCTTTACGTAATTATACATGAGATTATTGGTACTTGTACGAGGTGTACCTTTAGATGTCCATAATGTTTGAATCACAACCTATAAAGCAATAATGTCGAATAGATATGATTGTAGATAAAATACCGCCTCGGTCTTTCTAGTGTTGCAAGATTCTTTGCAACAAAGTCTTTGAGCAGTTCTCGCTTCCCAGATTATTAGGGCCACGGGCTGATCTTGACTGAACGGACTCACTTCAAACGCTTGTCAGACTTATTTAGTAGTACTGTCACGAAACCAATGTTTTATGTCCCGTTGATTGGTTTGCAGATTAGCAATGATTTACTCACGGCGATTTCAAATAAATCAATCTAGTTATTTCGTGTCTGTGCTAAACTTGTAGACATTTCATAACAGTCGATTGAGATAAATTAATTGAAACGGTCAGATTAATACGGATTTGTCATCGCATGATGACTAGCTAGCACTGTTTAGACGCTTGTTTATAATTTTGCTTGTATATTCGCATTTAATTTGAAAGGTGTTAAGTGGAGTGATTAGGCAAGTCTATTCTAAAAGTGGGTTGTGCGAAAAGTCTAAGGATCGTGAAAGTCGAGTGGTTGTCGTAAATCAGTAAAAAGTGTGTGCCAGCCATTTGACCTGATACTCGGTAATTAGACACAGCCTACCGTTGTAGCCTGCACTAAATAGAAATAAAATTTTAAAGCTGCATTCATAACTAGCTTCTGACCGCGGTTTTACCCGCCTTCGTTTCAGTTTTTTAAGCGCGTCAAGGCGAAAAATTAGCCAGACCGTAAAAATACATACTTAGATATTGATTTATTATCATATACATTAGTATGTATTTGCAAATCCGTAACTTGAGAAACTTTTCCACGGAATTTCCACGTACAACATTATTTCCCACCACTTTCTTGTTCTTCTTAAGTACCACGTATTTTCTCATATTCAGCAGTTTAGGGTTTGGGTGAAAACTGTACAGTGTACCTACCATGAGTCTATGTTAGGTGTGCTCGCTAGCGAGTACGTCAAAAATCTCTATGAAGATTTTGTTTCTTGAAAGTAGCCGCTAGGGGCGCTGCACAATATGTCATACAATTAAATGTCATTTTTTTACGCCGTCGCTAGCGAACACACCTAACGTAAACTCATGGTAAGCACACAGACCGAGTTACTTTCGCGTCTGTAAGCTTGGATACTAGTGCGAATCTGGACCGACGACGAGCGAGAATAATCGTGTCAACATTCTGCAGCATCAATTTAATCGCCATAAAAATAATAATTAAGCGTAATTTTTCGCAATATTCCCATGTACTGCGCGAGAGTGTCCAACACGAGATTAAGGTGGTTGTTGATAGAAAAGTGGCTCTTTATGGGTGAAAGGCGTGGATATGCGTGTAAGTTGCCATTATGGTTGTCTTGGTAGCAGGTAGAGGCATTTGTTGATATTTATGCTCGTTTGGGCGAGGTGACGGAGCCGTAAAGGTTCGGCTAAACCAATGCGATCACACGCAATCAGCTGGCGTGCAGCGATGGCGACCAGACTTAGGGTTCGGCCAAACTGACGCGATCACAACGCGATCAGCCGGCGTGCAGCGATGGCGACCAGACCTAAATGCATTGATCGCCATCGCTGCACGCCGGCTGATCGCGTTGGTTTGGCCGAACCTTTAAATGCATTGATCGCCATCGGTACACGCCGGCTGATCGCGTCGGTTTGGCCGAACCTTAAGTGCCGTGTGGCTCACCAGGTGCCTTGCAGGGTGATAAGATTTTTATCTAAGTTACGTCCGTGTTACATGCAAGTTACGCAGCTAGATAAGAAAAACTGCTTTCCTATTTTCTTGCGTCGGTTCTTTGAACGGAATACGGTTATTATGCGACTGTTACGTACATGTCTGTCATCTATGACATTAATATATTTGCAATATAGGTATTTATACTGCAGGTACTTACACGATCAAAAGAAAAACCTGCAGGGACAATTAAAAAGCCCCTTGTATATCTAATTGGTGCCTTACCAGAGTTTTAGGACATCTACCTAATTTTTAATAAGTGCTGAAAAGAGGCGCTGATATACATTCTAGTACCCACTAGATTAAATAAAGCTTAAAGCTCGATTTAAACTCAATAATCTCAAGCCTGTATGTTTTAAATTGAGTCGAGATTTCAGCGTCTTTGTAAGATATCGCTATCGTCGTAATGCGGATCGTTACGAATGTTATTTATTAGAGTATCTAAATTTTTTGTTTATCTAACTAAACATTATCCAGAACATTCCTAAGAATTCTCAATCCCCTTGTCCGCAGTTGACCCTCGGACCACGGTATCCGCGCACAATCTACACGGCCCTTTACTTGCCCCTGCGCATGCGAGCGAACCAATAACTGGGCGGATTTGCAAGCAAATGTCTTTTTAACATTACTGTCTGCTATCCAGTCTTACCTACGCTCTACCTGATTTTACTTTCAAGTTCCATTCAAAATATGGGAAACGGAAGTGAAATGCTAGCATTCCTTCCAGTTTATTTACGTATCTGAAGATACAGGTAATAAAATGCAAATTAGATATCAAGTAGTTTATTAAGTATACATAACGGCACACAGTGATAACAAGTGGGGTCGTTAGTAAGGCTTCTTACGTTTTACAATGAATGGCGATTTTAGAAGGAACCGATTTAATATAAATGGTCCGTGGTTAATCATCGCAATCATTGGATTGACTTAGGTATATCTAATAGGCAGGAACATTAGGTACAAAGTAAGGCATAACTTACGGCCACATGTTGCGTTGTTTTCATGTGGTCCCGTATTTCTTATCAGGTGGTTAAAATAGTGGCCACCATTTTTGAACTTAATCAAAATGAAGTAAGGTTCAAAACGAATGCTAAAATAATGTTTCTCTATTATTTCTTCGATATAAAATAAACTAAGAATAACGTTCCATACCACAACGCATCATGCGACCGAAGTTTTAAAAGTTGCTATTTCTTCTTCAAGAAGAAAGCTCATTAAGCTAATCTAGCTCAGTTACTCATGTGGCTAAGGCATTAATTAATCACACATTTTATCATATTAATATGGAAATTATTTTATTTAAATAGGTATTCAAACTGTGTGCAAAAATATTGGCTTGAAAGTAATTCGTTACAAAATATAATCAGAAAAAACTTTCTTTGAGTCAACAAATTTATTATATAAATTTTATATAGGTAGGTATCAGATGATTTTTTAGAAAGATAACAACAAATCAGTCCTTGGGACCCTAATCTGATGTGAATACTGATAAAGTAAATACACAAAAAATATTGGTAAATAGGTTAAGGTCATCAATTGCTATCAAACATAGATTCGATAACACATTTACAATGTAGATTAGGAAATTTTGTCTTTTTAGAAACATTTATAAATACATCCCGATTTTATATTTAAAAATACATTTCGTAAAATTAAACTTCTAAGTATGTGTATTACATAGTACAAGTAATAATCCACCATCACAAGAACATTGCTTTCGAATCACATTTGCAAATACAAACTCCTTGAAACTAAAGCAGAACTTCAATCTATTCAGTCGAACTTTAGCCATCTAATGGCCAACATCTACCTATCTATGTTGGTCTATGTTGCAGATATGTTTTTGTCCAAACAATTGGTAATAAAATGATCACATTACTAAAAATATCTCGTCCAACTCCTTCAGAGAACATAATACCAAAAACACATACCAACATTCACATCTTTTCCATCAGTTTCACCAAACCTTCTTCGACCTTCAGTCGACAAATCTCCCCGAGAGAGATAACAACTTTCTGTCGCACAGAAATAAACAAACTCCTGTCAAGGAGTGACCGAGACCCTGAGGAGTGGAAGGGCGCATCATATGCTGAGCGAGGGCCGTTTCTTCCTCACGCTCTTGTTGCTGAGGCCGAGGATCGATCCGATTACCTGAGGGAAAAATGAAGATGTCAGGAAAAAAATACACAGAAATAGAAACTGTCACATGTGATACAAAAAACCTTGCATGACCCTGGCTCTTAAGAAGACGTGGTGATGTTCGCTGCTAGAAAAGCAAAGAAAAGATTTATTTTCTATCTAATTAAATGAAAGAAAACATGTTTTTCAGGGCTGCAGAAGCGTAGCGAAATATGTAAAAACTAAAATTACGATTATGCTGGGTGCCTACTTTAGACAGAAAAAATAGATGGAAGTTAAACTGTGAACAAGTGATATACGAGGATTAATAACTTTTTTGACCTTCAGCAGTTAAAATTTTTTTTTTTTTTTAATCCACAACGAGGAAGCTCTTGGCCTGCATCTCACCTGATGGTAAGTGACGATCAGGCCGAAGGTGGAAGCGAGCTTCACCCGGAATCCTCAACCACGGAGGAACTGGCTATCTTACCTCTAACTGCCGGAACACAACAATGCTGTTAACATTGTTGTTATGGCGACAGACTTAGGTAAGATGGTGGTAGCTAGCCAGGCGGACTTAGAACAAGCCCTACCACCAACCAAACCGAACAGAAAAATCTGCCCCCACTGGGAATTGAACCCGGGACCTCTGCGTCTGAAGCAGGTGGTCTTACCACTAGACCACAGAGGCGGTTAAATGTGACTCTGCTTATCGTAACTTTTGTTGCTTTGTTGTAGTAAATCATAAACATGATCAAAGATAAACCACAATTGTTTGGTGGTTGCGTAGCCATATCACGTTCTGAAAATTAAGTCGGACACCATTTGGTTTACCTCTGCATTATTCGCATTAAGGCCAGTGCTTCGCTATAAATATTTCGGACAAGATTATCAGCGTGCCAATTTCATTCGCACTTCATAAGCGCATTATCACGCATGCATCTCCACACACACAGTCCACAACTGTACGAGTAATCCCGTTCTGAAATTGAATTTCTATTGCGCATTTAAAGACCAGATGATAAACATATTAATACGTAGGTAAAATAGTTGCTACCACATTTCTATGGTTGCTACTGACTTGAGTAAAATGGAGCATTCGTTCGTTCGTTCGTTCGTTTCAGCCGAAAGATGTCCACTGCTGGACAAAGGCCTCCCCCAAGGATTTCCACAAAGACCGGTCCTGCGCCGCTTGCATCCAGGTACTTCCCGCGACCTTCACCAGATCGTCGGTCCACCTAGTGGGAGGCCTGCCCACGCTACGTCTTCCAGCTCGTGGTCGCCACTCAAGAACTTTTCTGCCCCAGCGGCCATCATCTCTTCGAGCTATGTGCCCCGCCCACTGCCACTTGATTTTAGCGATTCTGCGGGCTATGTCATGGACATTCATTCATTCATTCATCTCCATTTTGACATACATGCGGGCTATGTATGTCAAAATGGAGCATTATGTAGCATAAATTCGTTGTTATCATCAAGTAATTTCAGTCTGCACTACAGGAACACCAATTCACCAGTCCTGGATTTGTCAATAGGCCGTATAGGCCGCGCGGCCTAGGGGCGGTAGAGTCCTAGGGGCGGCAGATTTCAGATGACGCTTACTCGATTTCAGAAGATAAAAGTTAAATAAAGATCCAACCCCACCCTAGCCTACGGGCGGCAAAACTGTAAATCCGCCACTGCAATTCACCACAGGGAACTGGAGGATTTGACCCACGCAGGCCAGAGGGAATTAAGGAAGCCTGATGTTCACAAACATATTTCTTTATGGATGTAGTGGTCCTAGTCTACTTTGCAGAAATCTTGGAGACCGAGTGCGAACGACGGTCTTTTTCCTAGAACGTTGCATACTACTAATGGTTACCTTGTAGACGGAGTAGAACGCATGCTTGTGCTGGCGCTAAAGTAGAGGCAGAATGTGGTATAAACTAGAGCCCACCTTGGAGACAGAGTAGCCAGGGCGCGGATAGAGGCAGGCTATGGTATAAATATACAACAATATTATGCATACCTTGGAGACGGAGTAGGCAGCGAGCTTGCGGCGCGGCGCGGGCAGCAGCAGCGCCATCGCCCGCGCCTCTCGCAACAGCGCGTGGAACGCCAGCGCGGCGCCCGCGCACGACTCCGCTGCCGACACCTCGTAGAATTGGCACCCGAATCGTAGAGATAGTTCTTGGCCTTCCTCAGCTTTTACCACTCTGTTCAAAAGAGGAATCACGTTATAGGCCTTATATGTATGTGTAGGCTAAGTAAGGACTTCTACTAATTATGATCAACGTTCACATTTACTTATGCTGGAATTAAAAGGCAACACCGCACGAGTATTACAAAACATTTATGTGAGTAGCACTGACTGCAAATATTTTTTGACCAGAGAGTGATATGAAAACAAAATAATACCTATTAAACTAACAATTATTCAGCTGACATCACATAATGTTCTTAAAGATGATTCAAGTATGTATCTAAGAATAGACTCCTCAGACTGCCATTATGTATTATGTCATTAGGCTTCTGTATAAGGGTGTCGCCTTATTAGATTAAAGAATTTTAATGTGTTACAACATCCATTAATGTCACCGGATATTATAACGTTCATACATAATGTGATGGTTGGTGAAGGTGATCAAAAAACGTATATTACTTTCATTGTCGTCACCTAATGCTTCTGCCATTCCATATCCATGTTCATTCTACGTCATTCTTACTTAACAGGTAGCCCCCCCAATGAAGGAGATTGAATAATAAATATTTCTTCCAAAATTGTAGCAGTCAAATTTGTTTTCTATCAAGCCTGGTACCTCACCTGGCATGTTCCAAGTCCCTTTTGTTTCCCAGTAACGTGACAGCGGTGCATCCTGGTAGCCTGGTCCTCTCTAATAGACCCAGCAGTTCTGCTGCAGCCAGGAACGAGCGACGATCACACACGGAGTATACCACCGCAAAGGCATCACCCCAGCGAAGGTGGTCCGCGAGGCAACCACGTTTCTGAACAGAAATCAGAATTTGATTCACCGATCACTCGCCGATCTATGCATTAGTGCTGGAAAAATGAACCTAGGTTATCACATCTTAGGCTTAGAGGTAAAACATCGCACCCATAAGAAACTACACGATTTATTTACCTAGTAGTTGAAGGATTGTAAGACGCATTGTAAAATAGGAAAATAGGAGCGTTTATCCTATGAACTAATTGATAAGCTATGTTACTTGAATAATAAAGAAATATTATTAATGAATAAACCGAAAAAGAATGTTTCTTTAGAAAAGATAATCGAATTAAGAAGTTATTGGGAAATGTAGATATCATACCGACACTATCTTATCTTTGCTCAAGCGTAAGGAGTTTACAAGCATGACCTTGAACCATGATGAATGTGAAAGTAAAAATGGTTGCAGATACTCAGTGATATTCTTCGTAAACAAACATTTGATTGCTGACATTCAGCATGATGATGAAGATTAATCTACAATGTAGGTAATCAAACGGTTTAACTATCATTTAATGGCTCATTAGTTAGAGGACTATAAACTTACGGCACATCCACATGTGTCCAAGACCTCGACTTCAGAAGTGGCTCCATCAAACGCCACCCGGTGTTGGTATAGAAAATCTGAAACAAGCCGATTTTTATAGCCACAATAAACTTTTAATTGATGCTCGAACCTTCGTCTCCATTTCGGCCTCGTTCTATATCGGCTTTCAGAAAGACGAGTATGTCACTCACGCGCATCTAGGTTACACTAGCCGTTAGCTACTCAAATATTTAATAACGCATATCTAGATCGTTGCATTGTTAAAATATTTTGAATCTTGCGTACTTTTTTTAGGGTTCCATAATCCTGACAAGGAACCCTTACAGTTATTGTTTTACTTTGACAAATTGGAAACATTTTATGCCCAGGCATAAAAAGTTATTAGATTCCGACTTTCAGTTGCCAAATTCGAAGCATGTAAGTACCTCTTTTATGCAATAGGCTGACTTTTGATGACACTATAGGTACGCGAAGTTGTATTGAACCACGAACTTCTTATGCTAGGCAAAGAATTTTGATTTACTGGATATCAACGCGTAGAGTTAACATCTGAATAACCAAACAACATTTTTATAGGAACGGAAGCTAAACAAACTTTAGTACTCCAACAAAAACAAATACATGAATGAAAAACTATGCCAACTGGCATTACCAGACTGTTGTTAAGCTTTGCATTGCCTCTGACAATGTTTCAGTGCCAAGAGATTGCGCAAACGTCTAACACAATGCCACGCGAGTTTACATTAGTTAAACTGAAGGAAGATTACTCAGGAATGCGCTGGTAAAATTTTAACTAGAGCTACCAGAGGTCGACGTACTAGGAGTACCGGCGCCGGCGTTCGTAAACCTTGGCACTCCCCTCGGCTCTCTTGCCAATAACACAAATAAACTATTGGCACCGGACTGGCATGTGGTAAGTGCTCCCTCTAAGAGGTGTTCACAGGTTTCTGTTAATCAAGAATTACTTGGTGCAACGATTTTTTAAACTAAAGCACACTTTAATCATGTAGAACTCACCGCCAGTCGAACTATATTCGCCGATGTAACGCTTGGTGAGATACCGGACGACCACAGCTGAAACAAAAAATAATATTAGAACCTTCTAAATAACTAGATGCTAGAGTGATTAAGTCATAAAACCAAGATAAGTGTTTAATAATAAAATGAGAGGCGTTGGAATCTCCATAAAGCTTCAAAAGACACGGTGATTTATCGATTAACGTAAACTGCTATAACAATAGTGGAAATATTTTAGAAGTAACATTATATCACCCACTACCAGTGCGGCACAGCCTACGAAATCCAACAATAACAATCGTAATATAGAAAGCGCGAGAGTGTGCAATTCTACTATAGTTTGCAAATTATCTAACTCGATAAAACACATCTTGCTAAATGAAATACAAGTTAGTAACATGGAGAAAGCAGCAATTAGCAGCTAATCGGTAAGAGGTGTTACAAAAGTTGTATTCCTGAATGAATTTATAACTACAAGCGACAATTAGAGGGAAAGCAGACAAAAGGGCCAGAGGTGCGTAAACACCGCTGTTCAAATTAAACTGCCGTTCCCTAACAAATTGTAATGAGACAATAACTACACCACAGATTCGATAAGCTTCCTTTCTATTTGGAATTATTTAAACGCTACACTTAATTGCAGACATCAAAAACATTTTGGGTGATTTTCCTAAGTACTAATTATCATCACCATAATTGTAACAATTTTAGTTAAATGTTTCTCCGACTGAAGATGATGAAGCAATAAATTAATATATTCAATTACTCTTTGAATCCCATTAAATGTACTTTATCTAAGTTGTGACGTCTTGGTGATAATGTTAATTAAAACAGCAAATGAAATGCCAGATAGAGCGCTCGAGCCCGGTTTCATAATTCCATCCAATGGTGCAGACAGAGCAATGGGGTGTCATTGCTGTTACTGCAATGAAATTGGATACAGGCGGTAGTTTTACGATACCCATACAAATATAATAAAATCCCATTATAGCTCCTGTCACGTAACTCAGAAAATTTTATGATTCCAGTTTAGAAAATCCCAAAATGGTTTTAATGCCACATCCTATAGAGTTGTTAGAACACGCAAATAAAGGTTTTATTGCAAAAGGGTCTTTTTAGAAAGTTACGATACTGAAATATTGGCATATATTATTACTGGAAACTATCAAATAAAAACTGCCAATCCTGTAAATAGATTCAACCACATTTATCCTGACATGAGACCATTACCCTTCTTTATTTATAGCAACATCCCATTGAGCAGAGCTCCATTCGTATATTATGCATTTGACATTAACAGTCGAAAATTCAAGTTGGAATTTCTGACTAAACGTATTAGATGTTCGCAGACTGAAGAAATATATTTGATCATAAAGCACTGAATAGTTCGAGAAATGATATTATCTTGGTCGCATCTCATCAGTTCCTTCGTTTTATTGAGCCTGCGACTGTTAGCCATCTCATCGTAGAATATGGGTTCATAGCTTGCCAATAAACATGTCATTTCATCAGTTTTATTATTAAGCTTCTGCTTTACGATCTCGTATAATGAAGTGTCAGTATACACGACGGCCGGCTCATGTTTGATTTAAAGGTTGACATAAGGTCAGGGGCGTTGGTTTTCATGAGCGTCGATTGAATGGACCAGCTCAAAACAATCGATGTGTGTTAATTGCCATTTCACGGTTATCTATTGAGGTTGTCGCACTTTCCTTTTATGTTTTGGCTCGTTAAATTATCATTACACAGTCGTCTGTCGTATCGAAATGTTAACTTGAGCTCTTCTCGTACGCAACTATGTGAATTGATATTTAAATTTCTCTTTTGCGTTTGAATGAAATTAAAATTTTATTGATATCGAGTGGCTTATGGCAATATGTTGCGGAATCTGAAAAGTTGCCTGCTTATCAAAACATGCAGAATGAGCACGCGACTCGAGTCGAACGCACCAATTACACTAACGAGTAAGCACTTTCACTGCGGCTGATAGCGGCCAGTTCAAGGTAATCCACTAAGCGTTACTCTCGATCTTGACGAACAACGTGCTAAAACCAATTTATCTGCGCTCGGTCAGTGCGATGTTGTAACAGACGTAAAGTCATAATTTGGTTATAAATCACCACAAACACTGCTAAATAGCACCATATTTTATATCCCATTCGAGCCATTTGAGTTTGCAAAAATCTTCGAAAATATAATTTGCTTCCAATATAATGACAGCGTCGTCAGTGTTCTGAATATAATAACTTACGGGTGGTATTTTTGGTATAAATTATAGTCCTCGTCGTGCACACCTGCGATTTTAAGTTCGTGCCTTTCGTGTATCATGTTTGCGAAAATTACTCTTTCCAGGGCAAACTGGAATGTCCCCGGTAACGAGAAGTATAACGGGACTGGGAGAGGATTAAATCAAGACGTTGTTGACTGAATACGGTAGCAAAGCTAAATGTTAATTAAGAGCATCGGCCGAAAAGATCAGACACGATCCTGGTTGCGGTAATTGGACGTTCTACTGTTTAATTTACATTTTTACGTCCCTCTTACTTTAGTATTGACTTCTCTCTTTGTTGCAGATCTGTTTTATTGGCTGCTGTTAAATTAACAAGAAAAAACTTCATCAATTTTAGTGCCCACCTTCTCGAAGGATACATAAAGCTTTCACTTATATTTATTGACTGATCAAAATGCTAATCGAATTTCACCTAGCCAAATTTGACGAGCGACATGTTTCCAAACATTTGGACATTGCATTTGCACAACCTAAAAGTCTAGAAAACATTATTGTGCCAGCTCTGGCACACAACATTTTAGATTTCTGAATATTATTATGTGATCTTAATGTTGTGTGTTTGTTATACATACACTTCGGCATTCCATCTCTCCAATATAAACTTTTTTGAAGGATTAAAATAGCGAGCGTCTTTCAGCGGTCAAAAACGTTTCTAATATTAAAGTACGTGGTTGGTTATTTCAATCGCTGACTAGCCAGCTTGAATATTTGGTTAGTTGTGAGTAAGTACGTAATTCAGTAGCGAGAGGCGGGTGTCCCGGCAGACGTCTGACCGGGTGACTCAGTGCTCGGCACGCGGCGCGCGCGCACTATAAATACAACTGCATTTGACATTTAAGTACTGTTCTCGATCCACAATCCCGAAACGCAACCGCACCATGTCATCCGTGGGTTCTGATTGATTTGCATTTGCATCTGCTGGGCTGCATCAAACAATTTAGCACGCTGGATTTATTTATCGCATTTCCGATAACGAAATTTAGAGCGATATACAACGTGTTTATTGCAAAACGTTCTCATATGTTTGTCATTCGGTATTTAGTTTATTACATACATTGAATAGGTTGGTATATATTAAACGCGTAAAATATTATCCATTGGCAACGAGAATAGTGGCTGAGGTAGTACCTAGATGGTACCTACTCCTACTCGTAGTATACATTATATTTATTGATACGAGTACACTCCTACAGTGCTACTAGCTTTGACTTTTCATACCGTGTGTATTAGACAAGTCTAACTTTATCACATCCGCCCCGGGATCCCCACAAAATTCGATTTTTTATTGCAAAAATGTAGCTTCTCTCAGAATCAAGCTGTCTTTCTATACTTATACCCACATTAGTACAGCGTACCACATAGGACAAAACATCAGGAAAGTAATTTTGTTTTTAAAATGCTGCTAAAGATTTACTTAATCATTTTAATCTTAAGAAATTCTGAGAATGTCATTATTATTGAGTTAACATTTACGTTAATCTCTACTACAAGCTACAAGAAAGGAAACAAGTTCTTTTGGAAAGAGATTTACTGAACGTGCACCCTCAGAGCCATCTATTCGTTTATTTTCACTATCAATAGGCTAGTTGCCTAAAAAAATTTTTTTAGTCCGTAATGTTTAATATCAAAAAATATTGGACACATATAATTTTATTTGTCAATCTAACAAATAATTACATAGTTATGGTGCGTTGAAGTTGCGCACGACGTCACAACGTGCGGCATTTTTAAGCAAGCGTTGACGTCACGGGTTGTGTCACGGGCCTCTTCTTATGAACTTTGGGGCGCTTTATCTCTTTAAATTTTCATTAGTTTGAAAAAGTGAAAAATACGTGTAGAGTATTTTTTGATAAGTTAACTGACGGACTAATTAAAACTCTTGCTTTTTGACCCAGGCAACATCCCCATTGTTGTAGGCACAGCATAGAGCACGTCTAACGTTTGTGCAATCAAATGAGCTCAATAATTTGTTTTTAATAATAGTAATGAATATATAATATTCCGATAATATTACGGAGCTCAGGTATTACGGCGTTGTTTACAGGCGGGGCCGCGGGCCGAGTGGGAGTATAACTTGGTTTAACTACTTAATCACATAATCGAGCGGTCAATGATTGATTGTCTTACGTAATTGGTAATGTTGTGCTTTACTATCGTTGTTTGCTTTGCCATTAGACTGGGGAATACTTCGCTTTTCGCCTTAAGCTCTTCAGGACTTGCCTTTATCGCAGATAAGCGTTCTGTACATGATAGTACGCAAGTATTAGCAAACAATGAAAGTAAAATATCACCTATTAAAACTGCGTAAGATTGATATGACATAAAATCCCAGTTGCATTTTAGGTAGCTATTCTATGGAAAATATTTTAGTAATAGTTATCACATTTTAAGTAAATTCGGTAAACAAGACTAACAGAAGTTCTATGTAACAATAATAATTACATCCACGATAGCCGAACGGTGAAGGGGTCGGACTGGCCGACTCGTGATCCGGGGAACGCGGGTTCGGTCCCCGCCGCCGCTCGACTATTGTGGTGAGCTCACTCGTGACACAAGCATATTTAGCTTAGTACGAGGGGCTAACGGGAGTATTCGTAATTTGTGTAATAACAAATTACTAATAATCTTTAAAAAAAAAATGCAAGTATCAAGCCCTTTTTCTCATTATGTAAGTCTTGAACTGTTTCTATTTTAAAATTTGCAATATCGATGCAAATTGCAAACTAAGTAGGTACCTTGTCCACCTACAGCTAGCTTTTATAGTTTT